TTTTCATTCTCAAACTTTGTTGGGCTCTATCCCAGGAAGCCATCAGCCAAATATGAAGATTCTATACCTTTTAGTTCTTTAGAAGAAGTCGTTTGAAGTTTTTGACATATTTGACCCCTGTGACCTTGAAAACAGGTCAAGGTCATTTTCGTTCTCAAACTTTGTAGGGCTCCTATCCTTTCAGCCAAATATCATGACTCTAGGCCTGTCCGTTCTTCAGAAGAAGTTGTTTAAAGGAAAAGTTGACGGACGAGGACGGACGGACGGACGACGGACGGACGGACGACGGAAGACGCGCCACGGCATAAGCTCACTTGGCACTTTGTGCCAAGTGAGCTAATAATGAAATCAACAATTCAAGTGTATACTATTACTGTACTTAAGTTTTCAACAGATTTACTTTTTACACAACAATGATACTGTTAGATTATTATTACAATTATTATTACAATTATTACCATTTGGTGATGGTGGGATAAAATTGCTCTATCTGTTCCCAGTTTATACTGACATTGATAAATTACAGTATAAAATGTCTAGCTCTGAAATAGCGTTGATACATTTATTACAGAAAGTGCTTTTCATAATTCTACTTTGCCCTTTTAACCCTCACATAAACAAAAAATAAACAGCAAATTCAAATCAAGAGTCAAGCACTTCTTAATCTGACTCGGTAAAACAAGAAACCCAATGGGCCTGCATCGCTCACCTGGTATTAATCTCACGATTGTAACCTTAAAAGAGGACTAAAATAAAGCTACAGGCAAAATATCAGCGTCTTGAAAGTAATTCAGAAAAAACTGGCAAAGGTCATTCATTCGAACAAACTTGGTAGCCCTTCATCCCAGCATGTTACTGGCCAAATATCATCACCCTAGGCCTCTCGGTTATTCAGAAGAAGTCGTTTAAAGGTTTTAAACATATTTGACCCCAGTGACCTTGAATATAAATCAAGGTCATTTATTTGAACAAACTTGGTACCCCTTCATCCAAGCATGTTACTGGCCAAATATCACCCTAGGCCTCTCGGTTATTCAGAAGAAGTCGTTTAAAGGTTTTAAACATATTTGACCCCTGTGACCTTGAAT